CACCGACCTCCCTCGCCGTGTCCAAGTTATAATCGTGACACAGAATTGCCAATAATGTACAATGCTCGTACACCGCGATAAAAAAATCATCATCGATGTTTCCAAGTATTCCAGTTTCGCTTGAAGTTTGAAATATCCTTTCCTTCTGGTTCATATTTGATCGAGGAAAGTATAAATTAAGCGAATTTGACAACGCTTTTGATCTAATAAACTTTTAAATTTACGTTCGAATCGAATTTGCTCGAGTCATGTTAAATATCTAACATCGAACGATAACTTATTTCTTAAAGATAAAATAGCACGATTGAATAAAACGATCGTACGACGCTCGTTGTATAGGGATATATACGTGTATGTATCTGTCTGTATGTATATAATAGTTAATAGAGGCCGAGTTACATTCGACTATAAGCGAGATCACCGCAAAATAACCTTACGTATCGTGTAATTTCATAGCTGTGCTTTAAAAATAGTCAACTTGAATTAAAAAAAAAATCGCGAAATTACGATTATAAATTATTAAATTACAAACGAATTTCCCTTTGAAGTTGAATGGAATAAAATCTTTGTACGATTTAATTTAAATATAGAAAGATACGTATTATCTCTTCTCCTGATTCGTCATTAGCACGTGTTGTACGTTGCATGTTCATTGATTTATCCGGCACGTGATGCCATCTAGTCACCGACTAGTTGAATTTCCTATTATTTTAATCGAATTTATCTATATTCCGAATAGAATAGAATTCCGAAGAGAAACGATGAAAGTAAAATTATAAACACGAGTAATTTTTTTTCGTGTTTATTATCGCTTTTAACATATAAGTCATAAACGTTAAAAAAATTATTACTCTTTATGAAAGATTATTTTTATATTCTATCTTATTCGTTTATTTTAATCGTCAAATAAATAATCACATTTTCGTCATTTCGATCGTACACAAATACATACGTAGAAACACACGCTAACGATTCATTCATGGATTAGTTGTTTATTTTAATAATCGTTATTTTATATATGTATAGTGTATGTATATATATATATATATATATTGTTTAAAATGCGTAACCACAACGTTACATCGCTGATCACGTTACGGAACGTCGTTTCGTATTTTTGCCTCCCTCCCTCTGTTATTCCTTATCGAGATACAAAAGGAGGAATTCGTATTCTCTTGTCACGTGTTTCATTGGAGCAAACCAAGCGTCACGAGGACTCGAAGTAAACGTAACTATTATTATGAGCTTTCTGCGAATGAGATATAAGTGCGTCGTTATGGAATATCGTTTTGGACTTCGCGCGATGCCATTAACGAAGTCGATAACAGAGCTTTCTCGATAACCGATCGGAGGTTAATCGTATTATGGACCGGTACGATGCTGATTCGATTCTGGAAAATAATTAGTTTACACTTTAATACGTCGTAATTCTTTCTTTTCTTTCTTTTAAATTAACGTTTAAATTGAATATGTAAAAGACAATCGTGCTATCGTGATTCGAAAAATGTTATTTCTAAGTATGATACGATTAAGTATGTACTTACACTTATCGTTTTTTTTTTCTTCTTTCTTATTTTTCTTCACGAAACATCATTACGCCTTGATAGAAATAATACGTGATCGGTTGCGTCACGGTTGCTAAAAACAACACGTGTCCATTCACTCAAGGCGTTATTCGTAATCAACGTCGGTCACATGTTTGTTCTTATAAATGTATTTTTCGTAGTCAACGTGATCGTCCACTAGTAAGATATTAGATAGTATTCTAGAATTGGACGACTTATGCGAAAAGGGATACTTGGTAGGTGTCGAAAACGACAAATAAATGAATAAAATTTCTGTGAGAAACGATTTTTTTCTTCTTTTCCGTGTCATTCGTACAAATCTTTTCTTTATCTTTGTTTAAATTTTTACTTTGATATTTTATCATTTTGATACGGAATTTTATATGATTCGTTTCTCCTTATCAAGGAAATTCATGTTTTTTTTACGTGATGCCGTAAGCTTTTTGTGGGAAACGATGTTTCCAGGTAGGAGCGACGTGAAAAACACGTTTCGCAATATCTTACGATCCACGACTCGGCGTATGTTCTTGTTTTTCGTCTGTTTACTCGGACGAGTCGAGTCATTCTCGCTTTTAAAATAAATTTTCTTCTTTTTTTTTTATCCCAATATTCTTACGTTAAAAAAAATTTATCGCAACGAAGGTTTAATTAATTATTATTATACAAGAGAATGGATGAATATCTATCGCAAATTCCAGCTGTACGAGCCGTTTATCCCTCTATTCAGTTTTAAATAAATACACTTTTTTTTATATGATAATCACAAAAAAAAAAAAGAAAAAGAAAAAACGTAAAAGAAAAAAAGACATATCATAAGACATTATCGTTCGTATCATATCATATTGATTATACATAAGTTCTAACCATCATCACGGAAGACTGTCATCGTTACAAAAGAAGTACATCGATATGAAAGAAATTTTCGCTATCGATCCAGTGGCGAATCATCGCTGATTGTTCGTTCAGTGTGCAAATTTTCAAGCTCGTTTCACGTGATCGTGGATCGGGAGATGAAAATTAGCATCGAAGGAATAATTTATAACACGTATTATATACAAGTGCAGAAATGTCGATAGGTTTTGTTTATTGTTACTAACCACTCGTCGAAGTTGGTAGATCCGGTGATTCCCGGTTATCGTTTGAAAAATAGCATGAGGTCAAGCGTTTGTCGATAAACTTTGGTCATAACACGGGCTTCGATGTCAGCCGCAAAGTTCTCCCTGGTCCGGTTGTATCCGGAATGCCGATAACTCGACCCCGTTAGTGCGGTTCCCCACTGATTTTTCGCGATCCGGCTCCTTTCCCGGATCGCTGTTCTCGTCGTGTCTCGTCGCGGACAGCGAGCAGAAACTACAAAGTCGAGGGTCAACGAGCAATTCTCGATTACGGTTCGCTGTACCGAGGCTACCGCCAACACGACGTCGTTCGTTACGAGGTCGGACAATGCTGCGTGCACCGATCTCTCCTGATATCGAATTTATTTTCTACGAAAACGTAGAACGTATTTTATTTTCTCTCTTTTTTAATAATATCGCTAAGATTTTTCATAATTGGGAAAGGGAAAGGAATTGTCAATTGTGAAAAGGAAGAAAAAAAACATAATTAATATCCGAACATATATATATATATATATTTTTATAATAGAAATTACAAATTAATAATAAAAAAAAATTCATTATTTTAAAATTATGATTTCACATTCGATCTCGAAATATTCAATATAAAGAAGTTGAAGTTAGATCGTGCAAAAAGCACGATGTTTAAGCTTTATAATGGATCGAAGACGGTAAAATTTGAAAAATATATCATCTTTGTCTACAAGAAAGAATAAGGAAGAATTTGATGAAATATATCAATCGGAATTAATCTATCGATGTTAGAACTCGGTGAACTACAAGATCGCAATCGCGCGAGTATTTGGCTATACTCCACGATTACAATTTCGCATGGCACCGATGAAAAATAATTTATTCTATCGCGTCACGTGCGTAGCTAGTCGCGGTTGGTGCGAGTATCTGGTTCAAGGCAGTATTCTGCGTGCTCCACGGCTAGAAAAAAGCATGCTCCTCGTGCCTCGAACGTGATTTTTTTCTCGCGCCAATATCGTCTAGAATCATCGTACGAAACGTGTGCAATCCCAATGTTTTACAAGAAGGAAGAAAAATGATATGGAAGAGAATTGGTGGCCAGATTTTCCCGATGAAACGTGTTTCCTCACGTGTTGGGCGTTATACATCGCTTTTACAACACGTGATCATCGAGCGCGTCGTCATCATCGAGCGACATCTCTCTCCTCGTTAAAGGAACGTAAGCGCCGTCGGCCGTACATCGCAGTCGTGGTTGTGCCATATCGCAGCACGCATACCGGGTTATGAACGTCGCATCGTTCGAATCGTATCGTTGTCTCGTACGATCGATCGTCGATTATTCTTCTATTTTGGGAAATATTCGTTTTTTGACAACAGTATGAACGATTCTCTGTTGTTTGTTCGCGCTATATATCGTTAATCGTCATAATAGACCGTGAAGCGACGAACGCTTTTATTTCGAGTGGATAATAAAGTAACAACGTGCGTGAAGATTCGAACGTTAGTGACGAAAAGGGGGCGATATCGAGGCGCGTTTCTAGGAAACGCTTTGAACGTGCCACTTACAGAAATATTCTTGGATAGATATAGGATACAGTCTCTACTGTTTCTAATTAAATTGCTAAGAGGTCTTTTTATATCGAAGAACAATTCGAAGAAGTCGTTAGAGCGTGATACTTGGAAGAGGAATTACAGAAGAATACAACGTATCGTCTTTCGCGCGTTTTTCATTTTGGAACACGATGGTGACGCATAGCATGGACAACATTTTGAATATGCAATATTATCCTACGAACAGTCAAGTCGACGCGGTACCGCAATCATCGCCGTTGAGGAAGAGACGTTGTTTGAACAAAGAGGTGATATTTCTCTTTTTTCAATTGGTGATTTTTCTTTGAAATTGAAATTGAAATCGAGTATGTAGTAATACATATAATGACGTAGTGATGATAGGTGATAAACGAAAATTCTAAGATTTCAAGGGAAGGGAAAATGACGCAAAGTGACGACGTCCCTCTTAGATCTTTTATTATAAGCAAAAAATAACACAACGATAAAACATTATTAACTAATGTGAAAAACTTGTCAAATGCAAATTTAAAAACTTTTAACGATTGTAATATACGTTAAAATATTTTATCATTGAATTGAAACAAATATTAGAAAGTTTGCGATAATGACAACGGTATTATCAATATCGTATATCGATGTAATACTTTTTAATTATTTATACGTACTATATCGATATTGTGACAGTGCGATATTATCGTTTAATTGAGAGCACGATTAACACGTTATCGCGCGAAAATGATTGAAATTTCTAACGTGTTATTATTTTCCGTTACAGCAAGATCCAATGTCTCATAGGATCATCGAGAAACGAAGAAGAGATCGTATGAATAATTGTTTGGCCGATTTGAGCAGACTGATACCGGCCGAATATTTGAAGAAGGGTCGAGGAAGAGTAGAGAAGACAGAAATTATCGAAATGGCTATTCGGCATATGAAGCATCTTCAAGGTCTTCGACAAGGTATCGATCATATATACGATAAGATAGCGCATTAGAAATATTAATAAAAATTTATAAAAAAATTGCAGAATCGAAACATCCTGCCGTGACGTCGGTACACGCGATGCATCCCGAGGACAGCGTGGATAGTGTCTCGCATTCGACTGTCGCCTCTACCGCGGCGGAACACTACAGGCTGGGTTTCCAAGAGTGTTTAAGCGAAACCATGCATTTTCTCGTCGAGGTCGAGGGTTTTTTCGCCAGGGATTCTTTGTGCGTTCAACTGATCAATCATCTGCAACAACATTGCGAAAAAATCTTAGCAACTAGTGAGTTGGAAAATTATTGAAAAATAATAAAAATCGATGCAGTTTTTGAGAAAAGAAAAAAAAGAAAGGAAGGATCAGGCGATATTTACGATAATTGATGATTGCAGGTGACAGGCTCGGGTTTCCTCATCCCGAGATGCCTACGACGAACGGTGTCGCGAATGGTAGCGGTTATCCTCATACCAGCATTCCCACGATATGTCAGCCGAATGGTCATTCGGATCACGGCTCGAGTTCAGGCGTGAGTTCGTTCGGTGATCCGGAGCGTCCTTTGCGACCAACGATCGCGATCCCACCACCGGCGATCGTGAGCGACGATAGCAATCACAGCACGCATTCGCACAGTACGCCACCAAGCACCACCTGCAAACCTTCCAACTACAAGTTTAAGAGCTCTATCAAGCAAAGGTTTTCCGCGGAGAGGATAAAGTCTAGCCCACCACCTACCACCAGCATAGAGAAGCCATCTTCCTCTCACGGTGTGCCGATCTTTGCTCTGCACGATGCTGGATCTTACTACGTCCCGTTAACCGTCGAGGCTTCTCTGTTAAGGCCTCATCTGAATTTCATGTGGGACACCGGCCCAGACACGGTGCTCCATCCGGTCACGATATCGGTCAATTTCAACCATTCGAATCCGCCGGCATGGTCGCATCACCATAGTCCCACGCACCAACAACAGACATAAACCAGACAATGGCCAGGACCCGATGTTATGTCTCTCTCGTTCGTTCGTTCCAACCGTCGATATGTGTCGCTCATGTTCAAGATTCGCGTTTTCGAAGAGAACGATGTCGCTCTCGGTGGTGAGAACGAGCGACGACGCGCAAATCTGTCGTTATTTTCGTCGATCCGGGTAATGATCGATAACAATCATCGAATCGTCGAACGAATCGTATCAAAGTTTGTTGCGTTCGATCGATTCTTCGTAAACGAGGAAACGATCGTCGCATCGTCATCCCGATCATCATCTTTTTCTTTCCGGTTCTTTAGCTATTAAATAATATCCGAGGAACGTTGGTATAGCGTGTTTTACGAAAAAAAAAAAAAAAAAAAAAAAAACGAAGTTCGACGAGGATCATTTTTCCTTTCTTTCGTATATATATATATATATTTACCGAGGCTGTGGGTTGTCTTAGCATTTACGAGATATCGAGAGAAAGTGCGATGTAGAAGTATCGTTGGTAGAGATAGAGTATTAGGGCTTGATCGAAGCCCCGGGTTGCTTTAGCTTCGGTATGTTTTTTTTCTCTCCCCTCTTTCGTCGATGTCGTCGCAATCGAAACCCGTTTCTCTCTCTCTCTCTCTCTCTCTCTCATTTCCTTTTCCCTCTTCTCTCCTTTTCTCATCAACGCCAATCTCTGTTTCGTTTTATCTTCTTTTTTTTTTATCCTCTGTTTCGTTCTTTCCTTCGCTTTATTACTTTTTATTTTTCGGCTGGGCAAATGTGTCGCGCGATGAATTAAAAATCTCAAGTTTGGACCGTGTGATTAACATTGGACGACAAAAGTTCCATCGATGGAAACGCGTATCGTGTAAAAAAAATATCAAATTTCCGCACGAGTGTCGAAAGCGTGGATCGTCCGCAACACGTTCGATCGGCCGACGAAATTCCGAAATATTTTGAAGCTAGCCGACGAAAAGTGCCTACAATATTATTGAGTTACAAATTCCATTTACGTGATCGTTCCACGTGTGTGGAAGAAGAAAGTGATTTTCCTTTTCCGCGGATAATTTTGTGTCACGTTGTGATCGCGAAAGAAGATCGAGTTTGTTCGGCGTCCTGAAAAATGGGCCTCGACAATTAAAGACTGATCAAGACCTGCATTACACTAAATTCTTATAAGATCATTGCATTAAATATATATATATATTTATACATACTACGTCTAGTTGTAACGTTAACGAAGAATTTATGCGGAATAAATTATATTTACCATATATCATCTATCCCTTTTATCTTATCTGTTATAAATTATTCTCCTCCTCTTACGAATTTATCGATTGCTCGGATAAATGGATCGAATTTATTAATTGTTTCGATCCTATCTAAGAATTATAGAAAGAAATCAGAGGCGATGATGCTTTTCCATTTCTTATTATCATTATCGGAAAAACGTAGAAAATAAGAAATTTTCAATTTTACGAGATACAGACTATCGAACATTTAGCCAAAGCAATTTTCGATCAAGATTGAAATACGGGATATAAGATCGATCTTTGTATAAGGATGATTTCAGGAATTGGAGGAAATAAAGAAACAATGCGATTAAAATTTTTTTTTTATTACATCAACATAATACTGGCTAAGGGTCAAAACAATAGTAGAACGCGTCTATTAGGGGTACCGAGATTAACACAGGCAACTCGGAATGGAAACTCGCTCTCGAGACCAAGGAATCGAAATCGATCGAACCGATCTCCTCGATCGGGAGTAAGTTTCCCTCGAACCGCTAAAGGGATTGGGAGCACAGTCTAATGTTCCCTAACTAGAGATAAATACATTTCTTATACAAGTAATAAAATTATTCGCAGCGAGGCAACCAAGTCTTGGAACAAATCAGCCTTTAATGAATCCTTCGAAAAGAAATCGATTAAAAAGTCAGGGATGCGAGGCAGCAGCGGGAGCAACCAATTGCATGTGTCCAATTCTGAATCGCATCAGGTTCTTTGTGCCGGGTTTCTGATTGGTTAGGTATATGAGAGTGTATATATGTATGCATATATGTATATGCGCGCGCGCGCGCATGTATGTGTATGTGTATGTGTACAACATATGGGATGCATATACGCGTATTACGCATTCTCTTCGCGTTTCCCTCGTAAAAAGTGAGAAGAAAGCGTGGACAAGAGCGTTATCGAGTCGTGGTGCGAGAGCGGAATTTCTGCTGATCTCATGACCGGCCGCTGCCTCGTGTTTCGTTTCGCGCAATAAGCCGTGATAATCACACGATATCATCCCGTCTGTAGTCAACTGTTGGTAGTATATAATGTTGTTGTTGTTGTTGTTGTTGTTGTTGATACATTTAATTGAAAAACCTAACTACACAGAGTTCAAGGGAACTGAGTATTACGTTTTTTTTTTTTTTTCTTTTTTACTTTATATACGTTTATCATCTTTAAATGGTTGTTTACCTGTAATTGGACACATATTCGTCAATGTAAAGAATTAAGTAAAAACGTAAGAATCCACCTAGCATATGTGGGGTGTGCGCGGGGCATGGGTGAACTGAATGTGCAAATTCGGATAGATGCGCGGATTCAATACTACCGGATAATGTAACGGGGGTAAGCACAACATCTTTTCATTTTTTGTATTATTATTATTAGTCGAGTATGAGTTGAATGGAGCAGCCGCGGCACACTGCATCCTATCCAAGGACCTCCTCGCGGAGGAGACACTCGTCGGGCACCAGCCGGCGGACTGCGAGCTTCCGAGGAAGCTTGATGGTTACTTTTTCTTCTGGGCTTTCTCCGCGGCCTTTGTGACCTTGCCCTGGGTATCTTTAAAGGTGACACTCTATGAAACATAAGAAATTTTAACGTTAATATTTTTTTCCAAAATTTTTACAATTCGTGCATTTTATATCGACGATATCGATGGAAATTCTTTTCCATTGATATATTACGATATATTTCAAATGTTTATTTCATATCCAAATGCTCAAATTATCGGTGGCATCGTTAAATGCAGCGTATTCGTTCCTTCCAATTGATAAATTGCATGCTCCATCTATTTTTTATCACAATTGATGTTGCGTTATCATTTATTTACCAAATATTTCACATTATCGGACCAGGGTTGAACGTCGTTCTTTTTTTTATATCCTGATGGAGTATTTTCTATAAAGTTACGCAATATTTGGAAAAATAATTCATCTTTTAAATTTTAATCGTGCTAAAATTTCTTTGCTACAACTTCCTTCGAAATTCAAAAATATATTTACGAAATTTAAAAATATATTGGCGAAATATCAAAATTATTTTGAAAATTTATTTTTTATTTTTTTTTTTTGTATAGAAATAATTATTAAAATTGGAAATGTATTATTATAGATTGTAATTTTTCTTTCGTTTACGACAAATTGAAAAAATATTTTTGTATCGCGGAAATAAAGTTCTGATGGTTTACTATATCCGAAATTAGATTGCATAACAAGAGCGAAGAGATGTCAGAGGCCTGGAATAAAACGAGAAAAGTCATTATACTTTTGTCATATTGCCATGACATTTGAGTCATTGAAAATTACCAAATATCAAAGGTGAATACCGCATTATGACCTGTATCGATTAATCTTTCCAATTTTTTTCAAATTAATTATCACGAATCGATGAATTTCCAAAATTTTAAAAGTGTTTAGCGAATATTTTAAACGCGATTGAAAGCGCGAAAGATCTTTTATAAAGAAATGGAAAAATATTGTATTTACATCGATTTTAATTCATCGATGCGTGATACGTTGAAGTTAAAGAAAAGAAGTTAATGAAAAAAAGATGATGAACGCGGAGAAAACCGTACCTTAATGACGCCCACAGCGACAGTCTGACGCATGTCGCGAACCGCGAAGCGACCAAGCGGAGGGAATTCTTGGAAAGCTTCGACGCACATCGGTTTAGTAGGTTGCAACATTACGATCGCGGCATCTCCGCTCTTGATGCTCTTCGGATTCTCCTCGGTGGTCTTTCCGGTACGACGGTCGCATTTCTCCTTGATCTCCGCAAATTTGCAAGCGATATGAGCGGTGTGACAATCGAGCACCGGTGTATAACCGTTGCTGATCTGTCCAGGATGATTGAGGACGATCACCTGCGCTGTGAAATCGGCTGCCCCCCGTGGCGGTTGATTTTTCGAATCTCCCGCCACGTAACCACGCCTCAACTCTTTCACAGAAATGTTCTTCACGTTGAACCCAACGTTGTCCCCGGGTAACGCCTCCGTCAATGCCTCGTGATGCATCTCGACCGATTTTACTTCGGTGGTGAGCGCTGCTGGAGCGAATGTTACCAGCATACCTGTGTCCAAGATTCAAGATTAATGCGTGATTCGAACAAGCAAACTTTAATTAAAAATTAAGAAATTTCTTCGAATACTTTAAAGCGAAAAAATACGTGCGACGAATAATTAAAATTTCATAAATTTTCACAAATAAGGATCCAAGAAACGAAAGATTCCTCGATTCTCTGAGCTCACACGCTTAACATCGTTCTCAATATCGATCCATACCTGGTTTCAAAATACCGGTCTCCACCCGACCAACCGGTACAGTACCGATACCACCGATCTTATAAACGTCCTGAAGCGGTAAACGGAGAGCCTTATCGGTAGGTCTGGACGGCGGTAATATAGCGTCAAGGGCTTCGATCAGGGTCTTTCCATCAGCGTTACCATCTTTGCGCTCCACTTTCCATCCCTTGTACCACGGTGTCTTTGGCGAGGGTTCCAACATGTTATCGCCGTGCCATCCGGAGATCGGCACAAACGCAACCGAGGCTGTATTATAACCGATCTTTTTGATGTACGATGACACCTCTTTCTTAATTTCTTCGAAACGAGCCTCCGAATATGGGGGATCGGTCATGTCCATCTTGTTCACTCCAACGATCAACTGCTTAACCCCAAGCGTGAACGCTAGCAAAGCGTGTTCGCGCGTCTGTCCGTTCTTCGAGATACCAGCTTCGAATTCACCTATACCAGCCGCGACTATTAACACGGCACAATCGGCTTGACTCGTTCCGGTGATCATATTTTTGATGAAATCGCGATGCCCAGGCGCGTCGATGATCGTCACGTAATATTTCGCAGTCTCGAACTTCCACAGGGCGATATCGATCGTGATACCACGCTCGCGTTCAGCCTTTAGCTTGTCCAATACCCAGGCGTACTTGAACGAGCCCTTGCCCATTTCTTGAGCCTCCTTCTCGAACTTTTCGATGGTACGCTTGTCGATGCCACCGCATTTGTAAATCAGATGACCGGTAGTCGTCGACTTGCCCGAATCAACGTGACCGATCACCACGATGTTTATATGAATCTTCTCCTTACCCATGTCGACGCTCTAGCTACCTGCAAAATTTACCACCTACGTGAATACACGGTTTTCGCTATCGATTTCTGCCTCCCTTCGCATCGTGGAAACGAGATTAGGTGTCGCGCGCGATATTCTTTTCACCATGTTAATACTTTTGATTATGAGAGAGAGAGAGAGAGAGAGAGAGAGAGAGAGAGAGAGAGAGAGAGAGAGAGAGAGAGAGAGAGAGAGAAGAAACTTTAACGATATTTTATCCGTATAAAAATAATTATTTTTTTTTTTTTTTTTTTTTTAATACACCTTTACTTTAAACTTTTAAGATTTTTACTCTCGATTACAACTTTCTTTTGACACGATATAAATAAAGCTTGACCACCGTCGACCAAAGATAGACCCCAGATGCACGTATATGTTTTAATCGATAGTTCATTTTAAATTAATTTTATACCGATTCCTTCGAAATTTGAAATTCTAACGTAACCATTATTTTTACACTAATTTCACATACTAAATATCATTTTTTAAATACGTATCATTGATTCATTTTATTATGTAGCCCAATTTTTATGACTGAACGCGGAGCAAAAGAGAGAAATCACTCTCTGGATTCACCGAATTAATCCATCTCGTGTACATCTCTGTTCATTTACGTATAATTGACGGTGTATGTCATTAATGATTGATTGGAATTCGATATCACGGAAATTATTCGTTATTCGCATGGGAATACGTCGAAACATTGATTCGCGACCAACCAACCAGCCGTACGGATCACGGCTGATCGTACGCTTGCTTATACTACTAGCATACCAAATATTCCAGATGGTCGGCAACAGTTTTTCGTTAACTTGCGTGATCGTAATTGTCTCAATTCTGTGTTTCATTTTGTCACACGATAGAAATATTATATCT